GTTAACGGTTAACAGACAGCATGTTAACGGGTTAACAGACAGCATGTTAACGGTTAACGGCATGTTAACAAACAGCATGTTAACGGTTAACAGACAGTATGTTAACGGGTTAACAGACAGCATGTTAACGGTTAACAGATAGTTAACGGTTAACAGACAGCTAACGGTTAACAGCATGTTAACGGTTAACAGACAGCATGTTAACGGTTAACAGCATGTTAACGGTTAACAGACAGCATGTTAACGGCTAACAGATGGTTAACGGTTAACAGCAAGTTAACGGTTAACAGCATGTTAACGGGTTAACTAACAGCATGTTAACAGTTAGCAGATAGTTAACGGTTAACAGACTGTTAACGGATTAACAGACAGCATGTCAATGGTTAACAGACAATTAACGGGTTAACAGACAGCATGTTAACGGTTAACAGACAGTTAACGGTTAACATACAGCATGTTAACGGCTAACAGATAGTTAACGGTTAACAGCAAGTTAACGGTTAACAGACAGCTAACGGTTAACAGCATGTTAACGGTTAACAGACAGCATGTTAACGGTTAACAGACAGCATGTTAACGGCTAACAGATAGTTAACGGTTAACAGCAAGTTAACGGTTAACAGCATGTTAACGGGTTAACTAACAGCATGTTAACGGGTTAACAGACAGCATGTTAACGGTTAACAGCATGTTAACGGTTAACAGCATGTTAACGGGCTAACAAACAGCATGTTAACGGTTAACAGACAGTATGTTAACGGGTTAACAGACAGCATGTTAACGGTTAACAGACAGCATGTTAACGGCTAACAGATGGTTAACGGTTAACAGCAAGTTAACGGTTAACAGCATGTTAACGGGTTAACTAACAGCATGTTAACGGGTTAACAGCATGTTAACGGGTTAACAGCATGTTAACGGTTAACAGCATGTTAACGGGCTAACAAACAGCATGTTAACGGTTAACAGACAGCATGTTAACGGTTAACAGACAGTTAACGGTTAACAGCATGTTAACGGTTAACAGACAGCATGTTAACGGTTAACAGACAGTTAACGGTTAACAGACAGTTAACGGGTTAACAAACAGCATGTTAACGGTTAACAGACAGTTAACGGGTTAACAAACAGCATGTTAACGGTTAACAGACAGTTAATGGGTTAACAGACCATGGGTTAACCACACTCTATAAAGCTCCACAGTTAATAGAAATGATTATAAAACATGATAAATCTTTCTAAAGGTTCTGACCCGGATCTGGTCCAGCTCCTTGTTGGTCTGCATCAGCTGCTTCTCCAGCTCCACGATCTTCAGCATCGCCTCGTTCTCCACGTCCAGCACCCGGGCAGACATCTTAGAGATGGACATTGAGACAGACAGGTCAGATAGACAGGTAAGAGACACATAGAGACAGACAGGAATAGACCGCGGGGGCAATGTCTATCTGTCTCACCGTGCCCAGGTTCTCCTCCAGTTCCTCCACCCTCTCCAGAGCAGCAGTCTTGGTCTCTGCGTCTTCCAGCAGCGTCCCAACGTCAAACACGTTGTCCAGGTACGCCTGAATCTGAACCTGCAGCCGGTCGCTCTCCGTGTGCTTCAGCCTCTGAGGGAGACAGGTGTGGGGGGGGGGGCAGGTGGGGTTAGTGCAAGGAGACAGGTGGGGTTAGGGCAGGGAGAAAGGCGTGTGATATGCTGCCAGTGATGTGACGTCTTACAAGCATGTGATTGGCTGACAGAGGGTCATGTGTTTACCTCCAGGTGCTCGTCCAGGTTGAGTTTGGTGAAGTCGTACTGCAGGTGGACTCTGAAGTTCATATCCTCCACCGAGTGAACCACGATGTTGATGAACTGCATGCAGGCCACCTGAGAGACCGGTAACAACAACACACTGTTACTTAGCAACCAATGTTCAAAGTATTATCATCTAACACACACTGTCCTCAGCTACTAGTTATTACAGTATGATGTTTTTACCACCAGGAGACCTGCAGGTCAACATGAAGGGTGTGAGTTACCTGAACAAAGTTCAAACTGTTTAAATTCTCCATACCAGAAAGTCGATGTTGTCGTCTTCATTCTTAAAATGTTCCATCAACTTTTCAAAACGCATCGACTCTGAACACACCTGCAACACATAGATCAATCAATCAGTCAACCAACCGACCGACCAACCAACCAACCAACCAACCAACCAACCAACCACCCAACCAGCCCATGAGACATTTATTATGTGTGTGTGGTTTCTTTACAGTTTTGAAGTTGTCGAAGGCCGACAGGATGATCTCATGTCCTCCTCTGACTAAACAAACTGCCGCCAGCAACTCCAACACCAGAGCCTTTGTCCTGACGACGAGAGTCAGGTGAGAGACAGACAGTTAAAACGTTTATATATTCACTAAAGACATAAGCAGAACACAGTAAAGTAGTTATGCAGTGGACCCCTGGTGTGTGTGTGTGTACCTGGGGTTTCTGTTGTTGAGGCTGAGGGCGATTTCGTTGACGGCGTGAGGGTGAGACATCACCATGTTGAATCCGTACTGGGGACACAGGAATAATTACAGTATATACATAGTATATAAATATCTTTATAAAACGGACAAGTCAAATCAAGCAATCTGATTGGTTCTTAGCCGTGATATAATGAGCATATATCACGGGTAGAATTGTAGTTACTTTTCACAACAAGTCAATATCCCTCCGCGTCGGAGAAAAGCTACAAACCGTTACAGCTGTGTACATTACGTCCATTACGAAATAACTATCTAACAAAGCTTAAGATGGAAAAATTTAAGGGATATGTGCAGCAAGGACTTATTAACCGTTGTTAAGGACGCTCACATCTGCAGAAAGAAGTCCGGTCGATTGAACTGTGTACAGTTGGGCTGAAACAGGAACTGCCATGTAGTTTGCTTTTCAAATGGGACAAGATAAAAGGTGTAGAAGTAACGGGGCAGAAACCTCCTTTTTTACGCACCGGTCCAGACATAGATATCAACACGGCAAAACATATTCAGTTGCCAGTTCTTCTTTGGATCAGGGCAGGGATATCTATGATACTTTCCAAGGTTTGACATCATGAATGTGGTAGCTTTTAAAGCAAGCAACGATGTTTTTCAATCTGTAATCAACAAAGGTCCACAAAAACGCTTTGGCGTTGTTCGTAGTTCAAACAGTAACAACAAACTATTTTTGATCTGCCTGTGGGTTGCCGCCTTGCTGCACATTATCCTTACTACCCTTCGACCTCCGGGTGGCCTTACTATGACGGAGTGGATTACGAAGTGCCTATCTCCAGAAAGCACCTAAACGACGCATGCAGAGCTACGTGAAGAGCAGGTAGACACTGGAAAAGTAGCCAACCATTCACAAAGCTTTCCTATGCGGGTCTTGAAACAAAGCAGAGAAATTATGAGCGTTAGTGGCCACAGGTGCGAAAGCTCTCTCCAGGCTACTGGAAGCCCAATCTCGGGAACGGAGAAAGTGGGGCAATATTCTCGCCACGCCAAGCACAGCCAATGAACAGGGGTGCCCCCATTTTTTGGGCTGTTGAGCTACTTTTGAAATGACCAGCTCACCGAGGTCCTTACCACAAAACTACATTCCCAAATTGCAAGGGTTGCTGAATTAACACATTTTATTTATACATGGGATAACTACAACAGGGCTCTGCCAACAAACGGCCTAATTTGTAATCGATGAATCTATCGATTAATGAAACGATTAATCGACTATTCGGACTATTATGACTTGCAAATTCTCAAACGCTCTTATTTAGCCATCAACTTTTAGATTTAGCTTGAGGTTTGTTTTAGGCATGTGGAAACTACCATGAAGACAATAAAGATGAATACTTGATTCTAAAATACATATATTTTAAATTTAAACTAAACACATTTGAACAAAATTAACATTGCCTTTTTATTATGTAAATAAATAATATTTCACATCAAAAGAAACACCATTGTTTTTAACAAATCATAATTAATAATCTTGATGACAAGAACTGTAAAACCAGAATAGCTGAAACTTTAACAAAATAAAAGAGTAACTCTGTTACCTCTTAATCATTAACCCATGTTTGTATAATTAATGAGTGAACTGCGTGTGTTGCTGACGGTGGGGAAACGTTTACTCGTGGATGGAGCTACAGAGCTACTAGTATAGACGTGGAAGCCCGGTGCCTTCCTACGTCTGATGTGGTGCACTTTTGCTTAAATGTTTAGACAAATTGCTCGTGCCCTTACTGCTAACTCCTCTTGCACGAGCTTGTCTCTACTCAAGAACGGGGTAACATGTAACCACACCTTGGAGCCGCTTCTCTCCGCATCACGCGTGGTGGTTGCTGCATGTAGCAGCCGAGTGTGGTGTAAACGCCCGGCCCCTCGCACACAGACGGCGGAGAGAGATCTGGTACCTGGATTGGAAAGATGAAATCATCATAGACACATTTGTGGTCTTTTTGCATGTTAGAAACAAGTGGGACACTAGACTCGCGAGATAATGTGTGTGTAGCAATATACATGGACTTTCTCTTTTCTCACTGCTACTCGGTGGAAGGTCGCTGTCATGATGATTGTAATACTCCGATAATGCCTCTCCACGTTACCATTTTCTGCTTGCTTTACAAATAAGGCAAATAACCTTTGATGTGACCTATAAACAATATTCTTCCTCCATTCTGGTTGCAGTGGTATGTTCTTTATGCTCTTGTCGTTCCCGCACTCATTTTGGTCGTTTGTCCTCTTTAACTTTAAATTAGATCTCCGGCACTGTGACTGATTTTGGTACGCTTTGCTTCTGGGTTAACAGACTGGAAAGCGATTAGGTTGCTTTTTTCTGTCAATCAAGTAAACTCCCTGAATTAAAGGTGGGGTAGGCTACAGTTGCAGAACCGGCTCAAGTGCACTAAACATTTGAAAGCTACACAGCCAAAAAGGACCGCCCTTCCTTCAGACTTCCTTACAGAGCACCTCTCCGCGAAGAGCAGGCGCAGTAACGTTACAGATCAGGCAAAGCTAAACACATCTTAGGTTGCAATATACATAGCCAAAGCAACATCCGATATGATCTTGGTTTGACTTCTCCTAGTTTCCCTTTCTTGTTGTTCTTTATTTGCTCCGTTAGATTTTCTTTTGCGACCAGTAAGACGTGTTAACGCTAACCTGCCATGGTGAAGTGCCCGCCTGTTGGCTGGCGGAGTCCTTGAGTACGCTCCAATGCGACGCCCATGAACGGACCGCCATGAAGGGAACAGATCATTTTGCGTGGCACAAGATGGAAGGCTGAACAGACAGGGCGGCCAATTCCAAAATCCCGTATAGCGGGTCGGGCCTAAACGGATGGTTATAGTTTTTTTACAGTATTCGGGTTCACAGATGTTTTTTTTTTGCTGGTTTTTTGTCAACGCACTTCGATATTCATTCGGTATCCCGCTGTTTACGAGCGCATTCCATGGAATATGAACAAAAGTGGTAATCTCGAACGCCCGGTTTCTGAACTTACCTACACCGCTTTAGTGGCAGGGAGGCAAGGGAGGAGGGGATAAAAACCTGTTTTGTCTATGTTTTAACGGAGATGGATTTTTTTTTTTAATGATGAATCCGGTCGTACCAGCCCATTGGCCCCGACGTCCTGCACCCTCTGGCCCTATGAACAACCTCAACCTATTAAGCCCCACGTAAGCCATGCCTATGGATGTGTGGATAGGTTTTCAGTGGCTGCACAATAAACAGCAAATACCTTGAATGTAAATAAAATAGCCAATAATAGGACTCAACGCTCTCTGTCTAATATGTTCGGCTAGCCTATAGTGTTGTTGCATAGCACACCTTGCACTATGTTTTGTGCAGAAGGCGACGGAGGGACTATTTTTATTTGACAAATTTATTATAAAAACTATTTAAATTAGAGGGTGTATTTTAACTTTATATGCAACTAGGTAACCGTTTTTTATAAACAGCAACTAGCTCACTTCAGGCCAGCTCAACCTATACTCACGCCGCCTTCGCGCGGCGCTCGCTCCTCCGCCCGGTCGGGCGAACCCCACCTTAATGTGGAATAGAATGACCCATATACCTCGGGCCTGTCGTCCCGTGAGCTATTGCTTAAATATGATCCCCATGAGTCTGTAGTACACTGTGGTAGTTCATGGAAACGTGCTCTCAGACAACCATGCCCAAACGTGTTGCTCGCTCTTTCTTTCGCAGACGAGTCTTGATGTTCTCCAGAGTCCCCGCGACTGGGCACGTGTTGCGCCGAGTCACTCATGCGC